AATGGAGTAGTCCAGGAATCTCTGTTTGGCCTTGTGCTACTTAACCTTTTTTATCAGTGAGCTGGAGAAAGTCATAGAATGCAAACTCATCACATTTGCAGATGACACAAAGCTGGGTGGGGTGGCTAATACATTGGATGATAGACTTGGGATCCAAGAGGATCCTGGCAGGCTCTCAGCATTGTGCCAACTCTAATAAGATGGAATCCAATCGAGACAAATGTAAAGGCTTACGTGTAGATGCAAAAAATTCAACTTTATAAGGATAAGTCAGGGAGGTGTGAGACAGCAGTTTTGAAAAAACATCTCAGGGTTTTAGTGGAGGTAAGCGCAATGTGAGTCAGCAGCTGTGTGATGTGGCAGCCAAAAAAAGCTAATGTGATCATTCACTGTCCCAGGAGGCATAGCTTCCAGGAATTAAGGAGGTGATAGTTCAACTCTACTCTGCCTTTGTCAGATCTTATCTGGAGTATTGTGTCCAGTTCTGGGAATCACAGTGTAAGAAGACATTGATAAACTGCAGGGTGTCTAAGAGGAGGGCAGTTAGGATGGTGAATGGTTGTGAATACATGTCATTTGAGGGTCAGTTGAAAGGCACCAGGCATGTTTGGCATGGAGAAGACTGCAAGGGGGACATGATAGCTCTGTTCAGGTATTTGAAAGGATATTATATGGAGGAAAGATTAAACTTCTATCTGGCCCTATAGGGCAGAACCAGGAGTGGGAGATAGAAATTGCAAACAAGTCAAATTAGTTTTGATGTCAGGAAAAACATCTTAACGATTTGAGCTATCCAAAAGTGGAATGGGCGGCCTTGAGAGGTGGTAGGTTCTGGGAGATCTTCAAGTAAAGACAAGATGACTGGTTAATGAGTATATTATAATCATTGGGTATGGGTTTGGACTGAATGGCTGCTGAAGTCCATTCCAGATCTCAAATTCTGTGATTCTGTATGCCCGACATGACCTATTCTTTCTTCCTCTTCCTCTGTAAAGACAGTGTTATCTTTGAAGTTATTTAGCTTAATTTGAGGCAATCCTATTCCTACCAGCTCTCTTTGTCTCATCTTGAAGCATCTCTAAATGTTTGTTACCTTTTCTAACCTTGTTTGTTACCTTGCCCTAGTTCTGGAGTTTTTCTTATTAGTTCCTTTTGCTTACTTGCTTTTATATAGTTATTTAATTCTCTTCTTTTTTTCTTTCTCAATTAAAGAGTCAAGTAAAATCCCCTTTCCTCTCCTCTTCTTTCAGCTTGTTTTGTACCTTAATTTTAAAATTTCATTTTCTGTGTTTTTTCTTTTTTTTTTTTCTTTTTAGGCAATTGGGGTCAAGTGACTTGCCCAGGGTCACACAGCCAGTAAGTGTCAAGTGTTTGGTCTGAGGCTGGATTTGAACTCACGTCCTCCTGACTTCAGGGCTGGTGCTCTATCCACTGCACCACCTAGCTGCCCCTTGTGTCTTTTTCTAAAAAGGATTTCTTTCCTATGTTCTCTTCATTATTGATCTTTTCTTTCTGTCTATTTCAGTCTTTTATCCTTTGATTCATTGCCCTTATGCTTATTTAGTCCTTTTTTTAGTCTAGAATTTAATTCCTCTTGGAATTAAAGCTTCTAAAGTGCCTATTTTGGGTTCCTTCTTCTAAACCAGAGGTGGAGAACCTGCAGCTCCAAGGCCACGTGTGGCCCTCTAGGTCCTCAAGTGCGGCCATTTGACTGAATCCAAACTTCACAGAATATATCTCCTTAGTAAAAGGATTTGTTCTGTAAAATTGAAGGCCACATGTGGCCTCGAGGCTATAGGTTCCCCACCCCTGTTCTAAATGGTTTCTAGGTGATTTCCTTGTAGATCTTTCCCCACCTCTTGTCCGCTTTCTTCTTGCTGAGCCTCATTCTTAGAAGTACCAATTCCTGCAGGTGATAGAGAGAATATTGCTCTAAGACAAGGATTTTCCTATTTCTCTGATCTTTTGGTTCATCATTAACCTTTGCCCTCCCTTTTGATCATTTTTTCCCTTGAGATCTCTTCCTTAGGTCCATGCCCTCCCACTTTTCTGTGTGTTAGTTGCTCCCACAAGTCTGATTCCCCTTCTCCTGAGGCAGGATGAGTACTTTCTCCCTCTCAAAGTACCAAATACCTGTGGATCATGCCCACTGTTAGGTCCCAGTCTCCCTTTATAGAATATCTCTCTTCTCCTATGAGTGGTACCCTTTCCCACTACTGAAGCAAGATTTCAGTCTTTCTTCTTTCCCCCCTTTTCAATCCCTCCCTTTTCCTCTGTGCGCAATCTCCTGTAGGCACTCTTCCTGAGAGACTAGAGGAGTTAATTTTCCCTGCATTGTTAGCTTTTGACTTGATTAGAGTACATTATGTATTACTCTCTATCTTCTTCCTCTGCTTCTCCCCTTTTATGTATTCTCTCATTCTGTAATTTAGTCCTTCAAAAGAATCGATTCACCCGTAGGAGGAATGTTGTGAGGTGTAGTATGTGATGTTTCAGGCCTTCTTTTCCACTATCGCTTCTGTGTGGTTGCTGCTTCTGCCCTTCTCACTTTGTGTGCATTTAGAAAAGAATCTCTTAATGGTTTCATTTTTGTTATTTTGTTGTTGTTCTTGGTTGCTATATTTGTTTCCCTTTCTTGTATTTCTGTTATGTGGGGTATTTTGAGGAACAAATAACTTCCTCAGGTCTGATTTTCTTTCTAGAAAAGTTTCAGGGGGCAGCTAGGTGGTTCAGTGGATATAGCACCGGCCCTGAAGTCAGGAGGACCTGAGTTTAAATCTGGCCTCAGACCAAACACTTGACACTTACTAGCTGTGTGACCCTGGGCAAGTCACTTAACCCCAATTGCCCAAAAACAAAAAACAAAACAAAACAAAGTTTCAAATACCTCATTTTATTGAATGTCCATCTTTTTTCATGAATTGTTAGGCTCAGACTTGCAGGGTTGGTTACCTTGTGTTGTATCTTGAGTTCTTTTGTTCCAAGGAACGTACTGTTCCATTCTCTCCTGTAGTTTAAAATGAGTGTAGACTAGTCTTATGTTATTCAAATAGAGGGTAATATGTAATATACTCTTATCAAGTCAAATCACTCTCTTGGGCATTAGCTCACTATTAACTGTTTTTATCTTGTTCTTTCCAGTCCAAAGAACATTTTCTTTGGTGGAGAAGACAAGCAAAGTATGAGTCAAGCAGTTTTCCTTCTCTCTGTTGTTAGTTATTATCTCATCCACCCTAGCAACAGTGCTATCCCTTCTTTAGGCCTTCTTCCTCTAACATAGCTAAGAAAATTGTTCTTGTTGTCCTTAGATTTCCTTATCAGCTTCAGTTCATCTGCGCTTTAGCAATCCTGACACTTCTTACATACAGGACCATACCATGCTTTAGTTATTTTTAAACAAATATTTTATTGATACTTTTTTTTTCTTCCTCACATTACTGTCACTTCCCAATGACTCCTTCCCCATCCCTGACCAAAAAATAAAAACAAAATCACAAAAAACCAACCCCTTCCTTGTAACAAAGAAACAAAATGAAGCAGAAGAAACGAGCACATTGGGTAGGTGTGATAATGTCTCATATTGCAGCTGTAGGCCATATTGCAGCCTTGTCTGTTTAGAAGGTGGAAGGGTTCTTCCCCATGAGACTTCTGAAGTCAGGATTGGTGACTGCATTGATCAGAGTTCTGCTAGCCTTTCAGTGTTGTTCTTATATTATTGTGGTCTTTTGCTGATGGTTCTGCTTACTTTCTTCTGCATCAGTGCATAAAAAACTTCCTTAGTTTCTCTGAATTTTTCATATTCGTTGTTTCTTAAGATATAATAATGTGGTATCACATTCATATACCAGAATTTGTTTAGGCATTTCCCAAATGATGTACACTGACTTTGTTTTCATTTCTTTGTTCCCACAAAATTTACAGTGAATTGTTGTGGTCAGAGTCCTAAACTTGGAATCAGGATGGTGTGGTTCTAAATCCTGCCTACAACTCTTAACTCATGGTATGACCTTGGGCAAGTGTATTAACCTCCCTGGGCCTCAGTGCCCCTTCTCCAATATAAGGAGGTTGGATTGGATGGTCTTTGAGGTCTCATCGAGTTCACTGCTGTGCTTTTGCATTCAACCCACGCAATGTGATCTTGCTTCCATCTTGGTTCTAACCATTCCCTTTTCCCCCACTTCCCTGTCCCAGTCTGAAGATCATTCTACATAGTGGAGAAAACCACTGGAGAGGTTCAGTCATTGGTTATGTCATTCTAGCTACCCTGCTCAGTCGTCTACTTCCTGCCTTGATCTGTCTCATAACTCAAAAGGCCAGTCCTTTTTTTGTTGTCCTTAGCATTCATCACCCACTTCTTTCTGGCCTTTCGTGTTCCTGATGTCACACCTGTGTCATCCTTGCTTTCTTCCTGTTACCTCAGTTGAGTGGGCAGCATGGTGTCATGGGAGAGGAGTTTGATGTGGAGTCAGGGGACTTGTGTAGGAATCCTGCCTCAGATACTGTTCTGAACCTTAGTTTCATGACCTGTAAAATGGGTATAAAATCACTGCTGGTACCTATCTCATAGAGTTCTTTTGAGGATCATGTGAGATAATATGTATAAAGTGTTTGGTAAACTTTAGATTGCTGTGTAAATGTCACCTACTATTTCAGTTATCTTCCTTGGTACCAGGAAAATTTAGAAATAGGAAACAAAAGATAGGGATAAATGGGTACTTTTCTGGATAGAGAATTTGTGAGCAGTTGGGTGGGTTTCCTAGGGATTGGTGCTGGGATCAGCCTCATTTCAGTATACAAATCTAGGAGAGGGAGTGCATGCTGGATTGCAGATGACACTAAACTCTTCTGAGGAGGGTAAGATACTTTGTTGATGGGGACAGATGGGCGAGAAGGCTTTCAAGGCTATGTGAGTGGGGAGAAGAGAAGTCTCTTTAACCTAGAAGTATCACTAGTTTGATCAGCAACACTTCTCCCACATCTGCCCCTTGTGCATCTTCCAGGTGGTGGCCATTGTGATGGACATGTTCACAGATGTGGACCTGCTGAGCGAGGTGTTGGAGGCAGCTGCCCGACGTGTCCCTGTTTATATCCTCCTGGATGAAATGAATGCCCAGCATTTTCTGGACATGGCTGAAAAGTGCCGGGTCAATCTGCATCATGTGGATGTGAGTGACTGCGGAAAGGAGTGGGGGATAATTATGGGAGGTTCAACCTGCGTCTCACAGATGTCAGAGACTGGTGGCAAGGGTAGATGAGGAGGTAACAAAGGGCAATCTTCGCAGGTGTGGTTCAACCTGTACCAGGCAGGTTCATTTGGGAGGGTGAGTCTGCATGGAGATTGCCTTGCTTCTTATACCCCTGACTCATCCCCCTTCCCATCCAGTTCCTTCGGGTTCGCACAGTCTCAGGCCCCACCTATTACTGCCGCACAGGAAAGTCCTTCAAGGGCCACGTGAAGGAGAAGTTCCTGCTGGTGGATTGTGCTGTGGTGCTGAGTGGTAGCTACAGGTGAGCTGCTTCAGGAGAGGGGTGGATATGAAGAAAAAAGACTTTGTGGGATAAAGAGTACTTCCCCCACCTGCCTACTCTCTCCTTAAATTTATTCCTGTGCCCTCTCCACTAACCCCTACCTCCTTATACTCCCAGTTTCTTGTAGTCTTTTGAGAAGATTCACTATGGGGTCCTTCCACTGTTTTTCCTCCAGTGTCCTCCCTGTCCCTGACCTGTATGTCTCCCTCCTTTTAGCTTCATGTGGTCCTTTGAGAAGATTCATCGGAGCATCGCTCATGTTTTCCAGGGAGAGCTGGTATCCAGCTTTGATGAGGAATTTCGCATCCTCTTTGCTCAGTCTGAGCCATTGATCCCTGCAGCTGGGGCTCTGGCCCTGGCCTTGACCCACGCGGACACTTATGCCCTGACTCCATATGGGGGCCCAGGGCCCCTGATGGGGGCTCCTGTAGGAGGACCAGGGTCCTTCTTCCCCAAGCGTGCCCACTTGCTGTTCCCACCACGTGATGAGGGCCTGGGCTTCCCCTCCTTCTTGGACCCTGACCGTCACTTCCTATCAACCTTCCGCAGGGATGACCTACTTCGGCATTCAGGGGGTGCGGGAGACATGCATGGGCTGAGGATGCTCTCACGTCGGCCTGGCATGGAGCTAGATGCTGGCCATGGTGGGGATCCCAGCACTCGTGGCTTCCTCCGTGCCAAGCACCTAGAGATGGAAGCTGGGCACGGTGGAGACTCTGGTAATCGGGGCTTCCTCCGTGCCAAACACATGGAGATGGAGGCTGGCAATAGTGGGGACCCCAGCTCCCGTGGCTTTCTCCGAGCCAAGCATTTAGAGATGGATGCCTTCAAGAGACATACCTTTGCTGATGGAGCCATGGAGAACTTTGCTGCATCCCGCCAAGTGTCCCGTCAGATGTTTGTTAGCCATGGTGATGACTTCCGCTTTCAGACCAGCCACTTTCACCGTGACCAGCTCTACCAGCAACACTACCAGTTTGAACCCCAGTTCACAGCTACCCGGCCTCAGGGCTTGTTTGAGAAGCTGCGGGCTGGACGTCCGGGTTTTGGGGACCCTGAAGATTATGGGGTAGAGGGGAGCCCCCGTTTCCCAGAGTTAGAGGGCTTTGGCCCTCATCCCGAGGGTCCTGGTGGACACCTGCGGCTGGACTACGTACCATCCAGTGCCTCAAGGGAAGTCCGGCATGGCTCTGACCCTGAACCCCGTGGACTGGAGCCTGGTGCCCCACAGCGCCCTAACATTGGGCAAAGGTTCCTTTGCCAGTCATCACCCACACAGAAGCAGAGTTTGGACCAACGGTGGTTCCCACCAGAGGCTGAACCAGAAATGGAACCCAGCCGGAAGGGTGGGGCTGAGGGCCGGGCAGGGCTGCGCAACTGGCGTATCTCCTCCTACCTCAGCGGCTGCCACTCTGATGGTGGAGATGAGGGTCTGCCTGGCCCCATGGAGGCAGAATCCTATGATGAAGTCCTGGGTGATCCCCCTGGCCGCTATCCCTTACCCACTGGGGACCTGCTCCCCTCCTCTTTCAGGACTGGGGGGCCCTTTCCCCCAAAGGCTCTAGGTGGGGGGGATGGCCCAGAGCGTGAGGTGGCTGAAGGGGCAGCCTTAGTCAAGCAGGACTCATTCCGCTCCCGCCTTAACCCCCTGATCCAGAGAAGCTCCCGGCTTCGCTCTTCCCTCATATTCAGTTCATCCCAAAAGGAGGGACCTGGAGGTGGGGCTGGTGCTGGGGCCACAAATGAGAAAGTACAGCTCTTCCAGAAGGAGCAGACAGTCAGTGAGACAGTGGGCGAGGGTGGTGAGACAGTGCGGACAGCCTCCTCCTCCAAGGTGGCAGAACTGCTGGAGAAGTACAAGGGCCCGGCCCGGGACAGAGACCGGGACCGGGACCAGGATAAGCCAGGTGGTTTGATCACTGTTAGCAAAGCAGCGGTGTCACAGTCATGGCGGCAAGAGACCGGGACGAGTAGTGGGGGTACTGGGGGGGAGCGACGTAGCCTCGAGAGCTGCCTTTTAGATCTACGTGATTCCTTTGCCAGTCGGCTGCATGAAGAGGCTGAGAGACAGCCAGGTGCAGCTACTCTGAGTGCTGCCCAGCTTCTTGATACCCTGGGTCGGGGTACTGACAGACTGCCCTCTCGATTTCTTGCCTCTGATGGCAGGGCTGCCCTGCCCCAGGGCAGGGCAAGTCCTCCACCTGAGAGGAAAGGAAGCCCCACACCAGCCTATCCAGAGAGGAAGGGGAGTCCTGTGCTTGAAAAGAGAGGGAGCCCCATACCAGCATTTCCAGAAAGGAAAGGGAGCCCTGTGCCACCTGTCCCTGAGAGGAAGGGGAGCCCCACATCAGCATTTCCAGAAAGGAAGGGAAGCCCTGTGCCGCCTGTCCCTGAGAGGAAGGGGAGCCCCACCTCAGCCTATCCTGAAAGGAAGGGAAGCCCTACCTCAGCATATCCTGAGCAGCGCAGCAGTCCCCTACCTCCAATGCCTGAGCGGAGGAGTAGTCCTATACCCCCAGTACCTGAGCGGAAGAGTAGCCTCACATTTGCTGGGGACACCCAGAAGATAGGGACACCTGGGGAGGAAGATATTGGCCGACCAGAGCCCAGTTCCATGGAGTTCCTGCGCAAGGGCTCACTTCGCCTAAAACAGTTGCTGAGTCCCAAGGGGGAGAAAAGGCTAGAGGAGGAGGGTGGCTTCTTAGGGCCCCAGGAGAATGGGCAGCCTGAGGGCCCCCATCGACCATCACGGGGAGATAGCCCAGAGGTAGGGGCAGAGGAACGGGGCTCCAGGCATCGCCTGGCCTCTGCCACACCTAATGCCCTCTACAGTAGTAACCTTCGAGATGACACCAAGGTGATACTGGAGCAGATCAATGCTCACAACCAGAAACATCGTGGTGGGGCTGGATCTGGGGCTGGGGCAGGGGGTGCAGCCCACAGCAGCCCTGAGCTGTACCGTTCACCTGCTGCTGCCCTGGATGTCAGCAGGGCCCATGAGATGTCTGACAAGGACAAATGCTCAGCCATCTTCCGCTCAGACAGCTTTGGGGGCCAGAATCGCTTCAGCCGGACACTCCCGGCTAGCCTGGAAGAACGAGACACCCTGCTACGAAAGATGGAGAGTATGCGGAAGGAAAAGCGTGTCTATAGTCGCTTTGAGGTCTTCTGTAAGAAGGAGGAGGCCGGGGCAGGTGAGGCTGGGGCAGGCGAGGCTGATGCTAGGGACCGCAAGGTGGGCAAGTTCATGCCCAAGATATTGGGCACTTTCAAGACCAAGAAATGATCCAACACCCTGGCAATCTTTCCTGCCCAGAGTGTCACTATCACTGACTCACATTACCACTAACATACTCAACTCCATTGTGGGTCCAGTGACCAAGCCAGATGCCAAATCTCTAAACAGGGTAGGTTGAGATAGGGTGGGGAGTGAGTGCCATATCCTGAAGAACAGGATGTCCCCTTGGGCTTATGAGGGATATCATTGCCCAGGGGTAGAGGACCACCCCCACCCTCACTGTGCTCACAAAGTCCAGTGTATCTGGGCAGACCTAGTCCCCACAACGATGTGCTACTGCCTTGCCTGCCTTTGGAATGTGGGCTTTACCTTTTTGGGGGACTATTCCTATCTGTTCATCCAATTATATTGGTCTGTCTGTCCATCTGTTCATTTTCTATATCTTCCTTTATTCCAAAGCTTTTCAATACACCTTCAGTTGGAAGATGTATGCTCCAACCTCCTACCTCCATACACTGGTTTGCTTATCTGCCTATCCCTTCTCCCACTGGTCTGCTTAATTATCTGCCTGTCCTTTCTCCCACTGGTCTGCTTAACCATCTGTCTATCCCTCTCTCTCTCTTCCCGGCCTATTAGTGCATCTCTCAGTCTAAGGAATTTGGAAGTAACAAATCCTCATTTGAACAGAGCTTGAGAGTTTATGAAAAGTATTCACACACTGTCTCATTGGAGCCTCATAATGGCCTTCTGAGGTACTTTTATAGATGAGGAAAGGAGCTGGGAGAAGTGATTTGTTCCACGTTATACAGCCAGGAAACTGTGGAGCTGGAACAAGAGACTAGGTTTTCTGGTTCCTTGTCTACTGTTCTTTTCCACTGTACCAAGTTGCCTCTCCAACAGAGAGAAAGGGTGGAAAATCTTTGTGTGTGTGTGTGTGTGTGTGTGTGTTTCTCCCAGGGGAGTTCTTCTCTGCTTAGGGGAGGGAGGAGGGAACATGTGAGGGCAGGGAGAGGTCATAGGATCAGAGAGAACCCTATCTTACAGCATTTATAAGGTAGGTGGTCTTCCCAGCACCAGGTACTGTGTTTTGTACCCAGTAGGCACTTAATAAAAGTTGGTTGATTTGCAGGGTGGATGGGGTGGGACCCTGGGGAGTTATGGGTTCTGGTTGGGTGTCTAGAAAAGGGGGGCAGTGCTATCTAAGGCTCTGAGCTAGCATCTCTCCTATTCTTGGTTGCGTGCCTCTCTGGGTGTTGAAGAGGGGCACCCATGATGATGGACATAAGATGCTGGGAGAGTTCTCCTTGGGGAGGGGATGGCACAGACTCAGTGCCTGTGTGTCTTCCGCCCTCTCCAGGGGATGAGAGAAGGAGGGATGAGGGAAGAATAATTTGCTGCATCAATAAATTAGACTTGAATTTATTAAACCTGGCTTTGGAGTCTTAGATTCTTCAAAACTACACAAACATCTTATCAGGAATGTCTTAGGAGGAGTGTGTGAAACAGAAGTACTGAGATGGAGTCAGTCTGGGATTCCTGTGACAGAGATGAATCACACATGAGACCAGTGTTAGCACCTGTGTGGGCCTGTGCCTTGTCCTACAAGGTATGTGCAGGATGTGGGCAGGGCCGACTGAAGGAGAACAAAGGTGTGAGGAAGCCAGGGAGTTCAGTCCAGAGATCAGTGACAGGCCTTAGGAGATATCTTGTCACATTTCTTATTTCCCACCTGTTCCTCTGCAGCTCTTTACAATTGTTGAGAACCCTTCTTTAGAGCCCCTAGTGGGCTCCATGCCTGCTTGCGCTGACCAGGCTGGGACCCAAGTCTCCTGGCCATTAGGCTATTGCTTCTTCCTTGGAATGGGCTGCCTCTTAGCAGGCAACAAGAGAAAGAAATTCTTTGCTTTGAGGTAGGAGATCAGGGAGTGGCTGCACCCCTGGATCTCTGGCTTTTTCTCAGGGGACCAAGGATGAAATGAGACCTGGTAAGAGAATGAGGGTTGGGGTGGGAGTGAGCCAGACAGCAGTTAAACAGGTTCTGACTTCCTCCACCATCTTTTCTTTCTCTGCCTTCTATTATGGAGTTGGTGGGTATTACTCCATTTAAGAAAGGTCCAGTCATCCCCATCCAATGGCCTTTCTTCACACAGTGCTCCCCTCTGCTGCTCAGCACACATTTAGACAAGGCCAGGGCCCCAACACATGATGTGCCCCATTTGGGATACGAAAGATGTGGGCTGACTTTGCCAGCAGGAGGAAGGGGTTGCTTCTTTAGAGACCAGGCCTGAAAAGCTGCCTGATTACCTCCCTGCTACCTAAAGACTATAAAAGCCACTGCTTTGGAAAAGCTGTTTCCAGGGCTGGAGGTCAGCCAGCCCTGGTGAAAATACCAGAGAAAAGAGTGCCCAGACTTAGCGCAGCTGATTCCCCCCATTTACTCAAACTTTCTACCACTCAGATCATCATATCATCACACAGGTGTCTATGTGTCCCACTGATTCAGTAAGGTATTGTGGTCTTTCCCCACAATGAATGCCCTAGTTAGTATCCCACTGATACACTGTAGAGCTGAGGTGCAGTCCCAAGATTCAGTAACCCCTTGGAATCAGAAACCTCGAGTGTGCTCTGAGACGCACATTACTACATATGGCTAATACCAATGACAAAGAAAGAGATGGTCATAAACAATACATCTGTATGTGGAATCATGCAGTCCTGGCAAGAGACGCATGATCAGATAAAGACTGTCACACTCGGACACACATAGTCCTGGGTAGAGGGCAGGAGGAGGAAAGTCAGGGTTTGGGGGAACTCAATTCCCTATGCTGGAGGAATACCAAGCCATGCAGAAAATCAGAGACTTTATTGCTGAAAATAAATTGTTGGTGTTTATGGGAAGAGTAAAGGGCACAGACTCCCATGGCTGAAGCCAAACATTCCTCAAGCCAGAGACCCCATGGAGTGAGTCAGAGAGGATGGCTCAGAGGAGGTTTCTTATCTCTTGGGAGTGTCTGGGTAAGGGAGCTTCAGTGAGGGCTCAGGGGGTCATGAGGATCAGGTGAGGGAAGTCCATGGGGTGAAGCAGGCTGGGGATATCTCTGGGGGGCAAATAGGGACTAGTCAGGGGCTAGAAGAAGTACATAGAGGTAAAAGTTAGGATGTCTCTAGAAGGGAATCAGGATGGAGGTACATGGGGGAGGGGATGGAGTGAGGAGTGAGAGAGGGGCAGACCATACAGGGCTGACTTGCAGATCGTTCCGTAGGCCTGGGAGTAGCCTCCCAGGGATGCCCTAGCTGCCCCTATGGTCCCCTGGGAGGCAGAGGACTGGAACATCCTCCTTGCGGGCCGTAGGAGAGCTCGAGCATCCTGAGTGGGGCCAGAGGGCAGGCGAGGGACCTGGGAGGAAAGAAGAATTCATGGGGGAAGACAGGATCAGTATAAGTAGACAATTAATGTTGGGGAAATGACAGTGATGTCAGGGAAGGAATAGTCAGGGCCAGAGGGACAGATGACTAGTGTTGGGCTGTGGAGGGATGGTCAGTGTCTGGAAAGTGATAGCACTCTGCATCTGGTCTCCCTCACCAGCTTGGCGTTTGTGGAAGTCATCACACCCATCAGGGAACTGTCCTTTCGTGTTAGGGCCTGGTTGGTCACCGCAGCTGCCGCCTGGGCAGCGAGGGAAGGGGCAGACATGGCCGACTTGAGGCCTGGCTTCTCCTAAAAACAGAGACAGGTTACCCCTCGTCTGGTGCTGACAGGGTTACTGCCTCAAGTGAGTGATCATATCCTGAGATGGGGCACATCAGGGCTGCAGCAATGAAAATTAAAGGTGGAGGGCCTAGGGGAAGATCAAGAGGTGGCTAGATGAGGTAGGATAAGAGAAGGGAGACAGTCTGGACCTGCTGAGTCACTCTCCTGTGTCCCGGCTGCCTCAAGGTTCTGTCCTCCATTGTTCTTTCTACTTTTTCCCTTTAGTGTCATTCCCTTTTATGCAGATGATTCCCAGACTTGCACCCCCAGCTTCAGTCTCTCTCCTGAGTGCCCAAGCCCTATTTCCAAATACCTACATGGACATCTCCGTATGGATGTCCTTCAGCTTGACATGTTCAAGCCTGAAATTGTCTCCCCTTCCAAGCCTCCTCTTCTTAACCTCCCTGATATCCTCCCCCTCCTCCTCTTCGTCCTTCTCAGCACCAACTCCTCAGAGTCATCTTGAACTTACTTATCCTTCTCCCTCACTTCACACATCCAATCAACTGCCCAATCTGGTTGAGTCTGCCTCTACCACAGCTTTTGCATTCATCTCTTCCTCTCCCATTGTGACCACCTTAACATTGTTTCCCTGCTCTCTGTTTCTCCTCCTGCCATCCACCCTTCAGAGAGCTGCTCCTTCAGACCCAATGCCAGGTCTGACCTCATCCCTTCCTTGACCAAAACTCTTCAGTGGCTCCCTGCTGCTCTACAGGAGAAAACATAGCCTTCTCAGCCTTGCACTTCAGGCCCTGCTCCGTTTGGATCCCACCCACCTTTCTCACCTTCATTCACACTCTATCCTTATACACACTTTCCACTGGACCACACCTGACTAGGCTCTGGTGCTGACTGCCCCTCCCACGTCTGTGCATCTCAGACATTCTCTGCTTCTGGAACAGAACACATTTCACACCCAATCTCTGCCTGCTGCGGGCCCCTGGTTCTGTGGAGGCCTTGCCCTGCTGCCATTTCCACCAAGAAGCCTGCCATGTCACCACCACTTAAGCCCAAAATGGAAGTGATCTCTCCTCCCTTGGGTCTCACACTGTCCTCAATTTGCACTTCACTGACTGACCAAGTTCTTTTTTCTACTCTAGTGACATATGTGGTCATATTACACTGTGAGATCCGAGAGGGCAGGGAACTTACTCCCCCCATGCTGTCCTAACCCCTGACACTGTACATAGCAAGTGTTAGTTGATTAGAAATGAATAAACTTACCCCAGGGGGGCCAGTGAGAGTGCGAGCATCACCCCAAAATGACTGTCCCCTCTTCCCTGAGAAACCTCGATGCTGTAGCCGGATAGAGGGTGCTGACCCTTGCCGGGGACCAAGGGTGCCTATGTTTGGGGTGGGAGAGAAGGAACATGTCATGGTGAGGGTCACGGTTGTATACCTTTGTGAGGTCTAGAATTATAACTGTGTGGGTTTGGGTCAGGGAATCAAATACCATGGTGAGGTCAAGGGTTATAACACTGGTGGGGAGGGAAGGGGTTGGGAAATGGATAACATAGCATGGATTCAGATCAGGAATCATACACCAAAGGGTCAAGGAGTCATATGCCATTGGGGGTGGTGGGAGGATTCAGGGTCACACCATATAGCAAGATCAGAAAGGCTCAGAGATCACGTACCATGGCAGGGAGTGGGTTCACTCTGTGGCCTGGGTCCAGGGATTTGTGAACGACGTTCCCTCAGGGCAGAGGTTTCCGGTTCCCTTGGGGCCTGGGCCAGCTCAGAGGTAGAGTTCCACAGGAGGGGATCTTTCTGGGAGGGCAGGGGCACAGGGCTTGACCTGGGAAGGTCCCCCAGGGCTTCTCTCTGAATCTCCAGGTCTTGAAGTCCATTGTTTGCCTTTCGCTCTAGGATCATCTATAGGAAGGGGACATCTCAGAGTCCCTCTGGTGAGTATTCAAAGTGGGCCCGTAGTAGGGGAGGGGTTATCTGGGTTGACGGGAATATTGAGGCCCAGGGAGTAACTTATGTGTGTGTACAACCTGAAATGAAGGATTTCCTGGAGTGAGGGAATACTTAGAGTGGGAGTGAGAGTATCTTAGGGAGGGACTGACACCCGGGCAAAGTCAAACTCCATGGGCCTGAAGTGGGGAGGGAGTATTTGGATTAAAGAGCATTCAGGAGAGAACTGCCATCCAGGTTCTGGGGTATGTGGTGTGTGTGTGTGTGTTCAGTACATGTATCATCTGCGGTGTTTATGAGTTTCATTTGCACATATGTACATGCAGTGCAAGGCACACACGCACAGGATTTATGCACATGCATGTGTGTACATGCATGTATACGCATGTGTGCACGAATATGTGCCGATATGCATGTGCACGTGTGTACACTTGTATATATGACAGAGAAAAAGGCAGAGGCAGAGGCTCCTGGAGGTCACCTTGTATAGCCGGTTGCGATACTCCAGCACAGAGAGCTGTACACCATCATCGATGGGCAGGAGCACTTCATACTCCAGGGCTGGCTCCTTGGCTGGACAGTGGAATCTGGAGTCAGAGGTCAGAAGGAAACTCAGAGGTGGATGGTGCCCACTGCTCACCTGGGGAGTGCTTCCTCTACCCTCACTTTTCCATTCACACATCTAAGGGGTACAGCTAGGACAGTATCCCTCCAGGGAGTTCTCTGACTCCGCCTTCTCTCCATCTTAACCTGCTGCTGCTGTTGGTTTCATCTGGAAATCCTCTAAGCCCAGACTCCTTTATCTTCAGCTCACTGGCAAGAGATCCAAGAGATCCACATCTTCCCCCCTTCCTCAACCAATCTTGGCCTCCACTCTGCTGTCCACTGTCAGCCTTGCCTGGATTACTCTCCTCCTCCCTAGCCAATCCTGGCCTCTCTTCTACCTTCCATCCTTGTCATCAGCTTTATCTGGGAACTTGCAAATCTTGCTCTCCAGCTCTGCCCCCTCCCCTTCTCCCCCATTCTTAGCTCCTTGGTGCTGGCCTTCCCTTTCCCTGCCTCTCTCCATTGTCTGCCTGACCTGGGGCCTCACATTCCCTCCTGGCCTTCCCTCCTTGTCAGCCCCCCTTGGGGCTCTCTCCCTACCTCCTCACATAAGGGTGCCTCAGGGCCTCATCTGCTGTCAGCCGTTTCTCAGGGTCAAACACCAGGAGTCGTTGCAACAGGTCCAGGGCCTCAGGAGGAGTGGTTGGTGGGAGGCGAGAGTCCAGGGTCAGTAGCTGCCTGGAGGCAAGTGCTGATCTCACCATACTCTGGTCACTCTGTTGTAGTCCCATATCTGGGAGCTCCACTGTCCCTCACGGTGCGCTCCAACCCCAGAGGGATCCATGGCAGCTTAACCCCAGGGATGTGAATAACCCACAGTTCTACTGTGCATTGATAATTACAAAGTGCTTTCCTTACAACCACCCAAGAGGCAGGCAGTGCAAGGATAAATAAAGAAACTGAAGCTCAGAGTGGTGAAAGGTCTTGACACACAAGTCTCATAACTGATAAATCTTGGGGTTCTCTTGAACCCAAGAATCCTAACTCTGGGAGTAAATCTAATCTGCTTGATACAACAGAACAAGGTCTAAAAGATGTCTATGATGGAGGGCCTGTAGTCCTTGGTTAGGGTTGGGCCCTAGAGAGATCGAAGTTAGGGTGAAGGTAGGAGGAGAAAAAGGAAGATTGAAAAAGGAAGAAAAAACTCAGGAGAAGAACTTGTATGGTTAAAAGTAAAAAGAAGGGAAGGAGAAAAGGGGAGAGAGAAGTGAGGGAAAGAGAGGGAAGAGAGAAGGGTAAAGGCAGTAAGGCAGGAGGGATGGATGGGGGGGATGGGTAGAGAAGGAGAGTGGGAAGGAAGGTGAATGGAAGAGAGAGGGGGAAATGGGGAGGGAAAGAGGCCTGGAGAATTAGTGGGGTACTGAATATAACAGATGCCAAGTGAATTCAGAATCTGCATCAGGAATCATATCACAAAATCTGAGTTGAAAGAAACCTCAGAAGCTATCTATCTAATTCAACCTCTAACTGAATGAAAATCCCCTCTACAATACACCTACCATGAGGTTATCCAGCTTGGCCTGAAGACAGTCTCCAGTGAGGGGGAGCCACTCCCTCCCCAGGCAGACCATTCTACTTCAGTAGAACAGCTTTCATTGTGAGGAAGTTTTCCCCTGGGTTAAAACTAAATTTGCTTCTTTGCAACTCACACCAGTTGTTGCTGGTTCTATTCTCTGGAGCCAAATTGAATAAATTGAATCCTTCTTCCTCATCATAGTTCTTAAAATACCTGGACAACTATCATGTGCACACTAAATTTTCTCTTTTTCAAGCAAAACATCCCCAGTTCTTGTAATTGAGCCTCATATGGCAAGGTTCCAAGACCCTTCACCATCCTGGCCACCTACTCTGGACTCTTTCCAGTTTATCAATATCCTAGAATTAAGCACAATATGTTTTCATAAGATGCAACCTGAGCAGGGCAGAGCCCAAAGGAATCAATCCCTCCCTAGTCCGGGACCCTACGTCTGTACTGATGTAGCTTCAGACAGCCTCCATCTCTGTACTTCCAGGCTACCTCATCTCCCAGATCTTTTTCATGGTGAAATGCTCTCTCGCCATATATTTCCCATTCTAAACTTGTAAAGTTGACTTTTCCCTCTTCCTTCCAGTAGAATAAAAGCTCCACAAGGATAGGACTGTACTTCTGTCATTGTGTTCCTGTACCATCACAATGCATATAGTAGGTGCAGAACATGGACTTGTTCAATTGAATTTGAATCCAAGTGTAAGTAGTGACATATCTCCTAAATTTCATCTTATTTGATTCCTATATTCTGTCCCATTAATGGGAATCACTCATATTCTCTCCCTGTTTATAACCCACCTGGTATACATACTGCTGCCAGATTATGTTCCTAATAAGAAATGGGAATGCCCAGAATCAAGGACACCCTGTATACCCTTACTTGAGCTATGCCTAGTAGTGAGAATTCTCCTACCTCTCTATTCCCTAACACATATCTGTATATGTGTATATATGTATGTATATATACATATATATATATAAAAACATGTTTATGTATCTATATATTCCCTATAGCCACTTTCAGATCACCATCTCTTCATTATTTTACTGAAATCCCTGGCTGCTCTCCCAGACTTTTTTGCCATTGTCCACTCATCTTTAGGACATTTTCCTGGCTGCCTCAATGACTTCAACATCCACACCCACCTCACAGGTTCCCTTGAATTTTATTACCTCTCTGCCTAGGCAATGCTCTGAGCTTAGTCACAAGGCTACCCTTAAAACCACCACATTAATCTCTAACCCTAGGAAAATGGACCATTTACTTTTCTCTGCTTGATAGTTAGTGTCAAATAACCTCACTGATCAGACTCATTAAAAACTTAGCTTGGCTCTATCTGAACAAACACCTTTCACCATCTCCTGTTGATTCCTTACCACATCCCTCGCAATGTTCCTTTTAAATATCTTTTCCTCTCAAATCCCTCGAAGATTCAATGCTTATAGACAAATACTTAAAACTTGAAACAGTGACCTATAACAAAGGTCTTACAGAAAAGCCCCTGAGGTGCTCAAAAGACTGCCAGAAGCCCATCAACCCAACGAAATTCTCCTAGGAGGTAAAGAATGTCTAAGGTTTTTTTCCAACTCAATTCTAAGGTAATTGGCACCCTGGTGTTGATCCTCATGACCTCTTGCCTAGAATATCATAAAAGCTTCCTAACTGGTTTCCCTACCTCAGATCCTTTCTCCACTCCAATCCATCCTTTACAAAACTGCTAAAATAATCTTGCTAAGACAGTCTTGACCCTATCACTCCTTTGCTCAAAGGCTTCCAGTGGCTTTTCTGTTACCTATACGATAAAATCTAAACTATTTAGCCTGGCATTTAAGGCTTTCCACCATCTCTCTCTAACCTATCTTTTGAGCCTTATTTCATATTGCTTTCTTTATTTTACATAATTTCCCTTTCCTAAATCCACTTTTTGAAACAGAATTAGTCTCTCAAATTTGTGGACAAATGAAATAAAAAATTAAGAAAAGCCTAATGCTTATTTGAAAGGCCTCTACCATTAAAAGTATGAATTGCCTATATACCAATACTGGCAGATATTATAAGGCAGTGGGTCTTATTTAGTGGTTCATGAATCCTTTGAGATCCTTTGATCATCCAAGGGGTTTGCACTAAAATTCTTTAATATTGCCTTAAACAGTAATTAATTGCAGAATATTCTGAATAGTATATTAAATTGTCCTGGGGGTTCATAACACATTTGTTGCTGTTGAAATGGGTTCTCAGAACAAAAAAAAGTTTGGAATTACTGTTGTCAGGTTTCAGATGATATTAACAATTTTTGTCATACAGTTGGGTTTGTTTCATACTTGGCTATTTCTTGAATCTTTGTATTTACAATACCTATATCTCATCCTAAAGTTAATGAAGTTGTATGTTACAGTCATAATCTTACATCACAAAAAAAAATCATTGACTCGTTTTCCCTTCTTGTCAGAGAAACCATCTGTTTTTTATTTGTAACTTTAATATAAGCTTTCTAGGGGCAGCTAAGTGGTATAGTGGATAGAGCACCGGCCCTGGAGTCAGGAGGACCTGAGTTCAAATCCGGCCTCAGACACATAACACTCACTAGCTGTGTGACCCTGGGAAAGTCACTTAGCCCCATTGCCTAGCCAAAATAAATAAATAAATAAATAAATAATGAATAAATAAAAACAACAACAAAAAATATAAACTTTCTAGCCTGAAATAATTACCTAGAATTCTCTGGAAGCTTTTGGAAGGATGTTTAAAGACCAGAATTTTTGTTCTAAATTGGAACATTTAGTTGGATAGTAAGACCTCTCTATCAGGAAACCATCCTCTAAGCAGCTACTTGATATAAGTAATAAATGTTGTTTCTAATGCACTTGATCACTAAACATAACACTGAACAAGTTGATTTATTCCTTTTAGCACACTTATATTCCAGTCAAACTGGCCTGATCTTGACCTCTTCTCTCCCACCTCTGTGTATCACCATAGGCCCTCCACCACAGAATGTTCTCCCTTCTCTTTTCCACTGGTTAAGATTCTCTTACTTTGAGGTTTGATTGAGGGGCCACTCTCCTCCGGGCCTTTAGAGTTCTCTTTCCTCGGATTTTTCTTAAAAGTATTTTTGTCTAAATGTCTCCATTGTTCCCAGTATGCTCTTCCTTATACACAAATAAATTGTAATACATGTGGGTCAATCCCTCTAATAGATGAAACTCTGAGAGAACAGGGACAGGACAATTTCCTATCTTTGTAACCCCACCGTCTATATAACTCCTTGCATGTATTAGGCATTGAAAAAACATGGAATTATAACAGAAACATTTCTATCTCCACATAATTTATACTTCAAGATTCACTAATATTATAGTCAAATAGGGGAAGCAGAGCCACCAGAGGAGGCAGGTAAGAGGCTGGGGTGGAGGAAGAGGAGGAAGATGGAGTGGAGGAAGAAAAGGAGAGGAGGAGGGGAAAAGAAGGAGGAGGAGAAGAAGAGGAGGAGAAGGAGGAGAAAAAGGCTCTGATTGCCAAGTCAGGGTCTTTGGAGGATAAATCATACTTCTCTTGATACTCTGCATAGCAGGTAGTAAAAAGTTACCCAATACTGGTGGCAGGAATCCAGCTGGGGATCTTTTTGCTTGAGAAATGCCATGGAGATGCATGTTTCATCAAAGTCTCTTACTAGCAGCCCCTAATTTCAGTGATCATTTTGGCCTCTGACTCAAAAAATATTGTGATCAATGTTTAGAGTTACTTTCTATACCTAGCACTGAGTGACTGATCCCAATGTATCAAGAAGATAAAAGAAGCATTAGTCTTACATAAACCCTTTCCTTTCAAACCCACACTTACCGGGGGCCCAGCCGGTAGAAGATAGAAGTATTGTAGTCTGAGCCAATGGCCAGGAACTCTGGATACAAAGAGCAGAAGGTAGTGGAATGAAAGTGGACAGATGGGGCAAACAGAAGAGGAACAGTTCCCGAGGGAAACTACTTCCTCTGGCCAACGGTAGAATGATCATCCCCCCTGGTCACTCTCACCCACTCTGTAGGGGCCGGGGTAACTCCCCGCCCTTCCCACCCCATCTCGCCAGCCAAATGTCAATCAGCCTTGTTCTCTCTACATGGACCAGGATGGATAGTTCTCTGTTTAATCTCACCCTCTCTGGTTAGGTCACAAAGGGTACAGAAGGGCAGGGAAATATCTAGTTACTCTGTGATTACATAGTAACATGGTTGGAACACTAGTCAGGGCTGGGATGAATATACCTCCTCAGTCAGTGCTCACCCTCTTTGTTTGGGGCTGGGATGGCTGCCAGGATTAGCTCAAGCTGATTGAGGGGTAGAAGTTCCTGGGAACAAAGGTCTCCCAAGCAGCATCTCCCCCAGGATACAGCCCAAGCTCCACATGTCCACACCCTGTGTGTACCTGCAGGGTCACAGAGTAAAGACATGCCTAGGATGAGGGAGGAAGATGAGGTAAGGATGAGGCTGCCACAGGAGTGAGGGTGGGGTGAAGATAAACGCATGCCTGGGACTGGTGGCAGGGAGAGGGGACAAGTCTTGAACAAAAGTAGGGGAGAGGAAATGCTAGGTGTGAAGAGTTGGAAGACAGAAGGATCTTCAGGGCCCACTGTGAAAGTAGCTACCCACCTCCCTATCCCTGTTTCCCTGGTGTTTCTCCACTCTCCAGGTCCCCCATTACCGGTGTGAAGACAACAGGATTTCTGGGGCTCGGTACCAGCGTGTGGCCACATACTCTGTCAGGGCTGGGTTCCCCGGTTCCTCATGAAGCTGACTCAGGGAACGTGCAAGGCCAAAGTCACAGAGTTTTACACAACAGTCAGCATCCAGAAGAACATTGGAAGGCTAAGGGGTATAGGAAGTTTAAGTGTGTACACGTGAAGGTTTGGAAAATTGTTGTAATGTTACGGGGGAGGTGTGAGGACCCAAGGAATAATGACTGGGCCTTCTGGGGGTGGAGTGGGGTACCTTGAGATTAAAGATGAGGTTTCTAGGAACAAGTGAGTCTGACAGGATGATGTGAGGAACTTGATGGGAGAAACAATTTGATAGATGGGTATTTGTGTACTTTTGGAGGAATATTTTATTTTTGAGGTTGTAGGAAAAATCTAGAATTTTGTAAGGAACGTAAGGAAACCTTATATCCCTTTATGTGTAAGGACCCTAAGGTAGGAGTCAGTGAGGATTCTGAGGGAATTAGTGATGTAGGGGCCCGGGGAAGCAGGTGTCAGTAAGAAGAATGGGGAGAAGGTGGAAGGGAGTAGATAGGACCTGGGGTTTTCACCTTTTGGTCTCTGTGGATGACATTTCCTGAGTGAATGAATTTGGTTGCACGTAGGAGCTGGTAAAGGATGTAACATTTATGAATATCCTTCAGCAGATTCCCTTTCCGGATGACAGTATGAAGGTCTGTGTCTGCACAGGAAATACAGGGCACAGCAGCCAGGGGAGTGGAGTTTGGGAGATGGGATAATGAGATAACATTAGAACATTTTCACTCACCTATGTATACAAATTCAGGGCATGAGGGAAAGGGAACTCACTTACCCATGGATTCAAATACTAGGTAAATGTCCCTGTCATTTTCTGCCCTGATGACATTCAGAAGCCGGATGATGTTGGGATGATTATCAAACTCCTGAGGATGAAAGGTCAGGAAGCACAAATTGGCAAGAGCTACGTAAAAGGCTTGGCTGACACTGACCTGGTAGTCCAGAGTACACCAGGCTTTCTTGCTCAGGGGCAAGGTGACAAGTCCTGGTTCCAGTCTTTGTAATTCTTAAGGCCCCTTGTAGAAGGTTCCTTTAAGGAGAATAGTCTCTAACATAATTTGAAGAGAATCTATATACTGCATATGTGAAGTATAGAATCACACAATCTCAGAGTGGGAAGGAACCTTAAACATCATCTAGTCTTGTCTAGGAAGAATACCTTCTACAACAAAGGTGACACACTCAAATAGAAACAGGGGCTACTACTACTACTACTACTACTAGTACTACTACTACTGCTGCTCCTCCTCTTCCTCATAAGGCTCCCTGTGGGCAGCATATTTACTGAGTTTTGAAATGTAATGATACCTATGTCTATTGTATTTTTATTTTGTTAAATATTTCCTAATTACATTTTAATCTCATTTGGGCCACAGGAGTGTTGTGGTCCACATATGGCCTACTGGTCACTTTTGCTCTACAAAATCATCACTAATTGTTTCTCTAGTCTGAATGAAGAGGAATGGGGAAGCTCATTTCACTTTTGAACAGTTCTAATTGTAAGGATGTTTTTCCTTACATAAAACTGAGATCTGCTTCCCAAGGACTTCTATCCAATTCCTACTTCTTTTGTCTAGAGCTAAGTTAAAGAACTCTATAGCCCCTCATTCATATGACAACCTCTCAAATACTTGAAGACAAAGATCATATGTCACTTTTTCTTTTCCAGGCAAAAATTCCCATTTTCTTCAACCAATCCCAAAACGGCATAGTTCCCTGTGTCTTCATCATTCTAGTTGCCTTTCTTTGGATGCACTCCAATTTGTCAATGATCTTTGAGAACGTGGTGCTTAACACCATTGCTCCAGCTGTGGTTTGGCCAGGGGAAGTACAGTAGATTTATCGTCTCATTTTTCATTCTTTTAATACAGCCTAATCAGTATATTTGGTTTTCACCTCACTGGTGAGTTTGCAATCCACTAAGCCCCTCAGGTCTTTTTCATATGAACTTATATCCAGCCTCTCCTTCACACAGCTGCCAAACAGATTCTTCTAAAGCACAGTGGTTGTCAAATAAAATCTGGAAAACTGCTAGTTGTACAGATCAGAGAGAGGATATTTATTGGATTAGATGGCCACTGAGATCTCTTCTAAGTCTGAAATTTTGTGATTTTGTAAGGCTAGCCTCTCATGGAAGCAGGGATATCTCCCTCCCTACACTAGATTTTTCCCTTAAAAGGCCTCTGATATAGGAGTGAGTTTGATTCAGAACAGATAAGTCTGAACCACTAGAGAGAGTACCCATATCAATGAGATCACAAGTTCATCCAAGTAAGCATGAACCTGGGGCAGTATTTATGTGTCTGAGGAGTGCTGTTGGCATGAGGCTAGGTCATATCATATGACAGATGCTCACCTGGAGAAACATGATCTCTCTGAACGTTCTCTGTAATAAAACACAAAGGGCATTGTTCGTGGTATGTGATGTTATTGATTTCATTCCCCCAATATGTCCGTCCCTTCTACCATCACCTTTCCCTCCCCTCCAAAGTTCCATTTCTCCATTACTCCCTTCACCTGTGCATCTGTCTTGTTCCTGAAGGCATCAAAGATCTTCTTGATGGCCACAGTTTCTCCTGTCCTTCGATCTGCAGCTTTCCAAACAATGCCATAGGCCTGGGAGAGCAGAAACCACGCCTTTTCCTTTCCGTAGGACCTGGAAAGTAGGGTGGCTAGAGGCCACCCCAGCTAGGATGGTCTCATCCCTGAGCTCTGACCTTTCCACATCCTGATGCTGGTAGTGGGCCTTCTTAGAATCCATTCCTCACCCCTTCTCTAACAATTACTACCATACCTGCACTTTAGCACCCAATTCTAGTTTATTGTTGGTCAAGAGACCCAGGTTAGCATCAGGGCTTAACCAGAGACCTCCGCAGCCAAGGAATGTCTGAGACAGACATGACCCTAAGTATGTGGAGAGACCCAATGGGGCAAAATTGGTATGTGATGTTACGTTATATAACTCTGATTTGCAGTCTTTTCCACTGTAAAAAGCAAAGTGGTGCTGTATTTACACTTATTTGACACTACGTAATCTGCTACAATGCCTTTTTCTTGTCTCAACACCTTGTCTCCTCTGTTTTGAACTGAGCAGTACTGGGTCTCCCCTTCAGACCAGGGGCTCCCTGAGAGTGGGGCTCAACCTCTCCCCTCCACCCCAAAGACCAGATGCTCCATGAAGACAGGTAAGTATATGTCTTCCTCTCAGATAGGTGACTCCCTGAGTGTCCCATAGACCAGAAGCTCTTTGAGGACTTGAAGGAGACAAACCAGATGTCTTCCTGTGGACCAGGCCCAGGGGCTCCCTAAGTTCAGAGTCCTGAGTCCTTCCAGATCATGGAGCTTTTTTTTTTTTTTAGTGAGGCAACTGGGGTTAAGTGACTTGCCCAGAGTCACACAGCTAGGAAGTATTATGTGTCTGAAACAGTATTTGAACTCAGGTCCTCCTGAATCCAGGGCCGGTGCTCTATCCACTGCGCCATCTAGCTGCCCCAGATCATGGGGCTTCTTGAAGGTAAGCAGTGCTTGGTCTCCTTCTTAGGCAGGGGGTTTCCCTGAGGGTAGGGCCCTGGGTCCTCAATGACCAGAGGCAAGGCTGTCTAACCACTTCAGATAGGGGGCTCTTTGAGAGCAAGACTAGTGTCCCATAGAATACAGGACCCTTGAGTACAGGCAGATTGTTTATTCTCCTCAGGTTGTCCTTGAGGACAGTTCAAGGCTGTCACCCCCTTAAGTAAGAAGCTCCCTGAGGGCAAGTCCTTCAGTTTTCTACAGAACCTTTGCTTTTTAAAGAAAGGCAAGGCTATGTCCTCCTTATACTAGAGGCTCCCTGAGGGAAGGCCACTGGGTCTCTCACAGACCAGAGGCTCCTTAAGGACGGTAGGGCTGTATCTTTCCCTTATACCAGGATCTCCTTAACAGGCCTTTGGGTCCTCCACAGACCAGAGGCCTAGAGAGGCCAAGCCAAGCAGGGTTGTGTTTCCCTCTTTGACAGGGGGTTCACTGAAGGTAGAGTCCTGGGTATTCCTCAGATCAGGGGGGCCCTTGAGGATAGACAGGGGTGTTTCTTTCATTCATCTGAGGGATCTTCTTGAGGGTGAGGGGTCTGAGTCCCCTTGAGATCATGGGGACAGGAGGGGATGTGTCTCCTTCTCAGACAGACTCCCCCGGACAGGGTCCTGGGACCCATCAGATCTCGGGGCCCCTAGAGAACATGAGGGGGTGTGCCTCCTCCTCAGACAGGGGGCTCCCCCAGGGAGGGGTCCTGGGATCCATCAGATCTCGGGGCCCCTGGAGGACAGGAGGGGTGTGTCTCCTCCTCAGACAGGGGCTCCACCCTGGGTCCCCCACAGACCGCAGTCTCCTCGAGGGCAGGTCCGGCGGTGTCTTTCCTGATACACCAGGAGCTCCCTCAGAACCGGGTCTCTCACCCCCTTCCCGAGCCGCCGCTTGATGAGGTAGCGCTGGGACACGTGTTCGTCCACCTCGGCCCAGCTCATGGCCGAAGGACGCCCCGTTTCCTTCGTTTCCTTCGCTTCTGCTCAGGACCTCCGTTTCTTCCCCTTCCTCGGGGCAGCTGTTGAACTCGTTGCTGTGGAAACCAGAGGCGATGCTGCGCTTGCGCCAGCGCCGGCGCCTCTGGGCCAATCCGACTATCGTGCGCGGGGAAGCCTGGCCCCTGCCTCCAGTTTGGCCCAGTCCCCTTTCTTTTCTCAGAGGTGACTTCCGAGAGCCAGGGACACGCCCACATTGGGCGTGACCTGGAGCTAGCTCCGCCCCTACATGGTACTCCAACTCCTCCCTCGCGCTCGTGGCCACGCCCCCTGCTTCCAACATTCTTCTCCTGCACCTTACTCAGCCCCAGGATGTGGCATGAAGGTGGCTGAGAGTTTCATTCTTTTTTTTTTTCGTCATGGATTGGTTTCCATCATTCCTGAAGCCTCAGTTTGTTGATTCGTCACCTCGTCCTTAGCTAGCCGACAGTGTCACATAGACTCAAAAAAATTGAGGGCTGGAAGGGCTGAAATTAGAGTCCCACCCGTTCATTTCGCAGAGGAGGAAAGTGATGCCCAGAGAGTGACAAGGACGTGCCAGGTGTTAAGTGTGTGTCCTTGCCTGTGCATGTATCGTCTACAAGTCAGCGTGCTTGTACAGGCATGAGTGCACATGAACAGGTGACCAAGAGACAACATTTCATGGGAGACTAACCTTATTTCCTTTTAATAATAATAATAGCAACTAGCATTTATATGGTGTCTATTGTGTGCCCGGCACTGTGCTAAGGGCTTTACAAATATTGGCTCATTTAATCCTCACAACAATCTGTGGAGGTAGGGGCTATTATTATCCCCATTAAACAGCTGAGGAAAGGCAGAGATTAAGAGACTTGCCCAAGGTCACACTGCTTGTAATTGTCTGACACTGTGTTTGAATTTAGGTCTTTTTGATTCCAGGCCCAGAGCTCTAGCCACTGTGCCACTTTTGGCAAGGTTATTAAATGGGTAGATTAATAAATACTTATTAATTGACTGGATATACTTTAGTATAAAATGATCAGTTTCATGAGTTTCCCAATCAATGTGATGACAAATGGAGTCTGATCCTTTCTTTGAAGCCATCTAAGGAACACCTCCTCATGGGGTATGGGCAGGCTTACCTGTACCTTTTTTGATAAGACACATGGAACTTGATTGACTGAGACTCAGGGGGATGGACTATTGTCTTTGCTTCTCATGGTATGTTCAAGAGAGCTGTTAGACCAAGTTACTCCTTTTCATTCTCTTTTTTCTCTCTAAATTTGGATTGAAGTTGGGGGACACTTGAGGCAGGGGAACAACCAGCAGGCTATTGTAATAGTCCAGGTGAATGGTGATAAAGGCCTGGACCAGGGTGGTATCAGTGTCAGAAGATAGAAGGGGGCATACATGAGAGATATTACAAAGATGGAAATGACAGGCTTTGGCCACTGATTGGATATGGGGGGAGGGTTGAGAGTAAGGATGACACCTAGGTTGTGAGCCTGGGTAACTATGAGTACTGTGGTACCCTTCACAATAATAAGGGAGTTAGGAAGAGGGGAGGATTTGGAGAGAAAGATGAGTTCAGTTTTGAACATGTTGAGTTTAGTATATCTACAGGACAAACAGTTTGAGATGTCTAATAGGCAGATGGAGACGAGTGACTGGAGATTGGAAGAAAAGTTGGGGCTGGACAAGTAGATCTGAGAATCATCTGCATAGAGGTGATAATTGAAACCATGGGAACTGATGAGGATCACCAAATGAAATAGTTTAGAGAGAGGTGAGAAGTCCAAGTTAGAGCCCTGTGGGGACACCCACATTTAGCAAGCATGACATGGCTGAAGATCCAGCAAAACACACAGAGAAGGAGTGGTCAGATAGGTAAGAGGAGAACCAGGAGAAAGTAGTGTTATGAAAGAGAGGAGATTATCAAGGAAAAGAGGGTGACCAACAACAATGTCAAAGGCTGCAGAGAGGACAAGCACGATGAGGACTGAAAAAAAGAACATTAGATTTGGCGATTTGGGGAGCATTAATAACCTTGGAAAAAGCAGTTTCAGTTGAATGATGAAGTTGGAGGTCAGATTGCGAAGTGTTAAGACAGTAAGTAGAAAGGAAATGGAAGCACTTATTGTAGAGAGCCTTCACAAGGAGTTTAGCCAATAAAAGGAGAGATATAGAATGATAGCTGGTGGGGATGAATGGATCAAGTGAAGGTTTTTTGAGAATGATGTTGTTGCTGGCAGTGTAGATGCAGCCAGTAGACTGGGAGTGACTGAGTAGTAGTGATAGAGTGGGGATAATGAGACAGGGCAGGGTGGGGGAACCTGCCAGGAAAGATTGTATGCAATGGGATCACTTATTCACATAGATGGGTTATCCTTGACAAGGAGAAAGACCACATCTTCATGTGAAACAGGGGTGAAAGAGGAAATAGTGCCAGAAGGCATCTATCTGAGTAATGTGAGGTGAGGAACAAGAGAGAAAAGGGAGTTCTCAGCTAATGGCATCAATTTTTTTTTTGCTTCAAAATTCCTCAAATACGAAGCAAGGTTCTCAACTGAGAGGGTAGGGGGTAGGGAGAGCTAGGGTAAGTTTAAGGAGAGAAGAAAAGGTATGGGAAAAGCCACTGTAGTAAGTGGGATATGATTCGATTAAGGAGTTGTAAAAGAATTGCCTTGCAGTGGTGAGCTCCTAGTTTGACACTATGTAACATAAACTTGTAGTGCTTTTGCAAAGCAGAGAGAGAGGTGGAATGATCAGATAAAGCAATTCTAGAGTTCATGAATATAGACATAGAACATTTGTGAGTGATGGAAAGAATAAAGGCATGACCCTTGATGTGTAGACTTGTGGTGGTGAGAAGATGTAGTTCATAGGGAATTAATAAATTGGGGAATTAGGAGGTTAGAGGATGTATGTTGGAGTTCCTTAGTGTGACAGCAGCAGTTGGGGAAGAGTGAAATACTTCCAGCCAGCCACCAAACTTATTAAGGAAGGGAGAAGAGTGTTTTGGAAGTCTGTAGACAATGGCCAGCAGATTTTTGATTGGATGATAAATATATATTGAATAAACCTCAAGGCAGGAGAGGTGACTGATTCAGGGTGGTAGAAGGAGAGCCTGGAAGGGGCAGGAGGGAGCAAGGCATAATTTAATTGACCCACCCATGATGATTGGGTTTGGATGAATGAGTGAAGGTGCACCCTATATCCAGGAGAACAAATCAGAGATGGAAGGCCTGAGAATTGGCTTTTCCAGTGGAAGAACTGATCGCAGCAAAGGAGCTGAGGGATGCCCTATAGAATGCCATGGCAGAAGCAGAAATGTTCATGTTCATTTGGCCTGTGTGGGAAGTTCTGGCTTCCTGGCTTTGGAAGCTCCCTTTAGGTTAACTCCAAGCAGTGGACATATTTCTCTTCAATACTCCTCCTCACTCTAGCTTTAAAACCCCACCCTTTTGTCCTCCGTTGTTCTCACTGCCACCCTCAGCTCATTCTGAGCTTTGTCTCTTTAGGCACATTTCTTTCTTTTTTTTTTTTTTAATAATTTTTATTGATTTTTTTTTTGTTTCTTAGATCATCATAGTATCCCATCTATCCCTCCCCTGAGAACCATCCCATATGACAGATAGTGTTTTTTTTTAGAGGAGAAAGAAAAAATCAGTGTAATAGATATATTGGGAAAGTCTGAAAGCATGTGCAATGTGTATCACCTGTGGACTTCCCACCTTCACCAAGGGATAGGTGGCCTTCTCCTATCTTCTCACTTGAGTCCTGCTTGATCTGTATAATTTTGTTACATTTCCTTTTGATTTTTGTATGTGGTGATTCTTTCCATTTACATTGCTGTAGTTACTGTGTATAAAGGGCAGCTAGGTGGCACAGTGCATAGAGTGCTGGACCTGGAGTCAGGAAGACTCATCTTCATGAGTTCAATTCTGGCCGCAGACCCTGAGCAAGTGACTTAATCTGTTTTCCTCAGTTTCCTCATCTGTAAAATGAGCCGGAGAAGGAAATGGCAAATTATTTTAGTATTTTTGCCAAGAAAACCCCAAAAAGGGTCACGAAGAGTTGGACATGACCCAAAATAACTAAACAGCAAAGTTATTGCATACATTGTTTTCTTGGCCCTGCTTATTTCACTCTGCATAGGCTCATGTAGATCTTTCCACACTTCTCTGTATTTATTGTGTACATCATTTCTTTTTTTGTCATATAGCACTTTTAATAAACATTTGCGAAAATTGTCATCATGTGTAGATAGCCAAGGAAAGCAATACTGACTTTTATTTCTGTCTCAAGGGGAATGTTCATGATTCTCCTTTCCTGAAAATGGACCACGGGCCTTACCACTCTTATATCTTGATCAAGTTTTCTTGTCTCTTTCTGCTCTTTCTGACACCTATTGGATTAACTTTTTCCTTTTCTTTTTTGCCTTATCCTTTCCTAGTTTAACTATTAGTAGTAGTATTTGCAATTGGAATGGATCTATATAAGTTCTCCTTTTTTTGCCCATTTCAATTTTCCTTTACCGCCTCTTCAATTTTCTTGAATCTCTTTCCCTGAGAGACTAACTACAGGAGTTATCTTTACTTTATTACCTATGGATTTGATTAGGGTACATCACACATTTTCACCCATCCTCCACCATTTCATGCATTCCCCTTCTTCTGAAACTTAGTCCCATAAAATACATTGATTCAAATGATGAATGTGTTCCTGGTTTCTCCACTGTGTTTCAGACTTACTCCTTTATCATCATGTCCCTTATTTCTTTAAATTACACTTTTATCTTTATCCCCTTGTGTACTTTCCAAAAGAAATTTCTTAATAGCCCTTTTGAAAAAAAAAGATGTTTTTCTCTTTCTGTTTTCTTTGTAAAAATATCTGTAGATCACCACAAGAACATTACTTATTCTTTCCTTGGTTGTCACATTTGTTACCTTTCTTATGTTTCTGTTGCTTGGGTTGTTTGCAAGTCTCATAATCTACTCATGTTTTTTTTTTAAATATATTTTTTCCTTTGTGTTAATGCTTCAAATGCCTCTTACTGAATGTGCATCTCTTTTCATCGATGTGTAACACTAACCCAAGAGCCAGTGGGTATGGGACTCTCTCTTCACTGGTGGAGAGAAATGGCCCTGCATGAGAAGTAGGGCAGAGTTAGTGAGAGAAGGA